CCCGCAGCCCCCCCCCCCACATATCTACAGGTTTTCCACACCCTTTTCAGCCTTGTCCTTAAATAGTATCTTTGCACTGAGCAGATTTAAAATAGTAAATCTTCACTCCCTGTACACCTAGACATTCTTATTCCACTTAGTTGGTTTATTTTTCTTCAAAGAACTGACATACTATATATTTTACTTGTTCATATGTCTTTTTTTTTTTTTTTTTACTTACCCACTAACATAAAACCTCCCTGAGGGCAGGAACTTTTATGTGTTTTGATCCTTGCCTCATTTCCAGCACCCAGATCAGTGCCTGGCAGTGCAGGTAGGTGCTCAAAAAATATTTGTTGAATAAACTAACTGTTATCAATTACAATTAATATTGAGAAAAGGTTTTTATTTCTTAAAGAGAAGTACTGCCAAGTCTGGACATGTACTGCCTGGGTTTGAATCCTGACTCTATCATTTACTTAATGTGTGACATTGGGCAAGTTACTTAACTTCTCCGTGTGTCAGTTTTCTTATATGTATCTACTGTACCAAGATGCTGCAAAGGTAAATAAGTTGATATTTGGAAAGAATTAACGATAGGATTTGGCACATATAAATCCTAGTTATTTTTATTATGATTACATTCATGTGTGAACTACATATATTTCAAAATCATATTCAGAAGTAAAATATATTGATGGTTACTGGACTAGTCTGAATATACTCGATTATTAATATTGTTTTTCTCATAGTGTTTTGAGAGAGAACGTGCTCTAATGTAGGTAGGAATGTCACCTTGTGTATGTCAGCTTGTACAACGAGCCTGGGGTTTTGGAGTTAGATTGGTGGTCCCAGTTCTCCTACTTGCTGTGTGGCTTCAGTTACTAATGTTAAACTTAATTCACTTCATCTTAAAAAGGCATATTTATGTACCATAAAGTACTAGTAAATAAGCAAATGAGGTAGCAGATATATGGTATCCAGAAGAATGGTTGATAATAAGTAAACAAATGATTCAGTAACTCTGGTAGTGAAGAATAAAAATCGGTACACAGGGCATATAAATATTGCTTTTTCTTCCCTACCTTATACAAGATTACTGGTGGAATTTTAGGCGTGGCTTATTTTTTGAGGTTTCAAGACAATGAGGACACATCATAGGCCCTCCTTAACAATTCTACTTAACAAAAATGGGGAAAGAAAAGACCCTTATGCATCTGGGAAACATAATAGTGGATATTAGAACCCATATGCTTAGTCTGACTCATGGTTGGAAATTTCCAGTGACATTCATTGGCTCGTTTGTTTTTTATGAGTTAGATTTAACCCTTTTAATTATCTTCATTTGGAAAGCCTATGATTTGTCCTTGGAGATTATTTTGCAGGCAATTTAGCACTCTCTCAGGGAAAACTGGAAATTGTCTTCATCATTCTCAATATCCACTCTTGGCATCCTTTCTTTGTCATGCTTGTGCACATCTGAGCTACCCAATGTCCTTTCTCTCACTGTGAAGACCTCTCCTGAGAAAAGCATTAGTTACGATTTTTTAGTATCATATGGGAGGTTCAAACGAAACATTCTATTCCATGTACTGCTATATAAAACAAATTTTCTTATTGTAAATTTGAAGGCGTTTTTCCTTGTTAAAAGATCTATTATCAGTGAACACGTAGTGGAGGGGAGGT